TTAAGGCAAATTAATATAAAATTGTTCCTTGCGGAAAGGCAACATTATTTTCCATCCATGATTTGAGTACCTTCTGGGTGTACAAAACAAGTTTAGAACAATTTGGGTGCTCATTACCCATTTGATTCTTGATTTCTTATCCCTGTGGGTACATAACAGATACACCAACATTCATGTGGAAACACGTGGTAGAAAACAAATCCCCGAAAGAAATAGTTCTGTAAGTCTTCGACATTGATGATGACCTCGTTATTTGAACTGGTCACACCTAGCTGAAGGCGTTTGGCACCACGTGTGGATAATCCGTGCTACGCATCCCTTGCGACTGCTACCAAGCTCGGCAATGCTACAATTTATGGAGAAACCAATCAGATTAACAATGGCGGGTCTTGAATTTTGGTGCGAAATTAACTAATTGGTTTGGCTAAATAGTTATGGCATTACAGTTCATACCAATTCGTGATTAAAACCCTAAATCTAATCCCAACTCTAAGCGTCAACTGTAAATATTAATCGTAATTCCTCACATGGGTTTATAACCCTCACTTAGCTGTAGTACGTAGGTAGACATTCTTAAGGTGCTGATCGTAATACAGTGTATTCAAGTATACTAATAGTGTTTTCCCTATTTTTCCTACTGGTTTATACGTAGCTACTTTTGTATGTCTTAGATATATATGTTAGTGTTGAAGCTTCACGAGTTCACTTAATCTGCGAATGAGTTCATCAATTGGCCTATTTGCACATTTAATCGATAAGATGAAATTACAAAATATGAGTTTTGGGGATCTATCGTCCCCAACACTATATAAGGACTTTGGTTGTACACATAAAATTCAAAACAATCACTTTTTCAATCAGCTTAGCAAGATTCCACGTAGATCACATTTCTCCAACAAAACACAGGCATTGTTGAGTATATCTTTATGGATATTCTGTAGGTAATATTTTTATTATCTGATTGATGTTTACTCTCGCGTAACTATTATTCTTTTCGCGAAGTGCTACAAAATATGCTTCTAACTGAATCGTCATTGTTTCGTGCGGCTTTACCTCTATAGACAATTAAATATGTTCGTGTTCTCAGTAATCTTATATCTTATCAATCTTTTAAGTTTTCGACATTTGATTCTGGCCGCATAAGTTTAACCGGAATCACCTCCTCAATACTCTTGGTCACGCATCTGCACCATATCACCAGTGGGTACGCTGTGCTCCACATCCCTTACAACCGCTAGTCAGCTTAAATTAGTCCATTCCCAATACATCGATAACCTATCAAGTGTATCTCCGAACCTCTTCTTTTCTGACTCCTGATGTGACTAGGTTGGCACATTTCGATTATAAAATGTGTTACTGGTAAGGGCGTTGTCAAACTCCGACTACTTGTGGCATCTACATGTACTTCGGGTTGATTACGCCCCCAAGCGATCCCAGAACATTCTTCGAATAAAATGACTTTCGATAAGTCAAAGTCTACTTCCGTAGCATATGCATGTGCGCAAATTATCTATTATCTTCCCAGCATGTCAGATAGGGTCGGGAACCAAATGTTTGTAAAAATAAGCTGGAGATGTAAGTCATACCGAATGTCCGTTGCCGTGAGTCGGTTCCTATATTTTTTTCCAACCAAATACTGAATCTAAGACAACTGACTACGAATCTAACACAAACATCGTCCGTCCTACTAGACACTCAGAAAGCTTTATAGGAGCCAGGTCAAAACTCATTTAAACATAAATAGAACTAAGGTAATACTATAAATACATTTGTAGTAATAAAAAATCCTTCAAAAAGAAGTCACTCAATCCACACTTACTGGGGAAAATTGAGTGCAGATAAACAGTCATTCCATTTTAAGCAATCTGTTGATGAAAGTAGATGTTTTTCTGCTTGTAGACACCTTTCTAGGTCAACTATTTTCTACTTCTGAACTTCATCGAATAAATATCTCCGTCTAAATGAGCGGTAGGTTTTTACTTGTTGGGAATATGTTGAGTATATGTAAAATAAATCGTAGTTAGATTGGTCAAGGATCTGTATCAGTGTTTTCAGATTTTGCTTTATCTGCCGGTCTACCTTGCGAATTTCAGTTGGAATATTTGTCATTAAGCAAGAAGTGTCTTAGAAAACTTACGACAGGAATGTTGGCGTCTGTTGAATACTTTCAGTCCAGCAATCGAGAAAGTCCTTCCCCATCTAAAAAAGGCTTATTTAGAGATCTGGAATAAAAACACCTGATTACTTATAAGTATAGTGCCGGATTTACGGAGTTTGGTATATAAGCTCATAGAAGCCTTAAAATCTTGTATGGAGTGAAATTCGAGGTTAATTGCGTTAAAATGGAATATCCTTGAGTAGCGTGGATCTGAATGTTACTGGTGTAATAGTCGTATACAGGTTACATAAAAGCACAGAGGGCGTCACAAACAGCTCAAAATGCAGACTACAGGGAGAAAATAACGATCATTCTATCTCATGCTCGTTTCTTGCCGAAATCATCGGCTCAGCATTTCAATATAATTTCAGTAGTGTCTGGATTCATTGTCTCTGAGATACAACAGCAACTATGAAAACTACAGGTTGAAGTCAAATCATACTCGTCCGCTGTTCTAACTTGTTGCGTGCTACTTATGTCGACAGGTATAAGTAGTATATAACATCAGCCGGAAACCTTGTCAGCAGGCTTAGATCAACTCGAAGAGGAAGCAGAAATGGAAGTACAGGATGTGAAAGACGAAATTTTGCGATCGAATTATTCGATGTGTAGTTCTTATATTTTATCATGAGATTCTGTAATTTTTGTGCTCTAATACATTTGGTTGTCCCCACTTGTATGTTCGTTCATTACACTGGTACGTTTATCAACGGTGCAGAAAAGGCACACTAACTGAACTGATAAAAGAAAATGAGAAGGTTCGATTTGTATCAACCGTATTGAACCCCAACTGGATATCCAAATCGTTAAACACTGGCTCAAACAGACACGCGACTACGGAAGTGAAAACTCAAGCACATACCATGATGTGTTTACCGACTGTTACTAGTATCCCAGTATCTGTTAACGGTGAGAAGCGGTGAGTGAGAAACAGGAGGAAAAACGGATATAGCATAGCACCGAAATCGCAACAAGTGGAAGACAAAAGTATTGGACAAGGCTCCTTGGCTATATCTAATGTCCAAGTGCTGAGGAGTAGCCTGTTAGAATGTAGGGCAAACTTCGATGAAGAACAGTCAGAAAATACTGTGCAATGCTAAAAAGTTTTTCACTTAAGTAAAACTATGCCGCTTGTATAAGGACCGAATGATAGTAGAATATAAACCATCTTTACTTAGGCCAACATTATAAAGACATTTTTCTGTCACCATAGGTTAAGTGGTCCTCCAAATACGAGCTAGATATGAAAAGCTGTGGTCCGTAAGAGATGCGACTAGAAGATTAGCAAGCATCCATGAACCAACCAGCATGGTGTTACGAAGAGTGCCTGAGCTTGCACAAAGCTTTCGGAATGGTGCTCGCGAACACGATATGGGAAGGTGGCAGTGATTATTACGTATCGCAAGCATTCAAGCCACCATGATTATTAGGGTGTGAGAGCTACTTCGTCTGTTACACCTCACAGCCATTAGGTTTCCACGTCTAGTGGCTGTGAATTTCAGAATACGTGAGGACCCAAATGAGGCTCTTCATGCTTCATTCAACTCGACTTCTCCAGTAACGTGAAGTGCTGTGAACGTCGATCTAGATCAACAACACAAGATCACAGTCAACACACCTCGGTCTCGATTGACCCTAACCAACAACACATAGTATGGAACACAGATAATACGGTATCTTTAATTGAACAAGCTACATAGAGGAAAGCCTACAGCGATCATTTCGAACTCAACTGCCCAACATACGTTAAACAACAATCTGCCTACGAACCAGATGATCGTTACCTCTGTATAGAAGCATCAGACTATGAAACAAACCACCGAGTGTCCCGAAACCAACTTTAGGAGAATAAGAGACAAACTAGAAGAAATCAAAATCACGTGACGATCATAGTCCTGATTGAAACATGGCTATCGTTCGACTTCACAGATAAAGAAGCGAGCTTGCAATTTTCCAATTCAACAGGGCACACAAAATACGAAGTGTAGTGCAAATACACATTAATAGTCACTTCAAAACCACAACACTACACATACCGAACTAACAAGGGTGACGGAATCATCCTGGTGTTCCTTCAGTGTGAACGACAAGAAGTTCTTGATTGAGGGAACATACCGAACCTCCACACGTTCTAATGCAAAAACAGATTAAGTAACACTGGCAATAATCAATATATCACACATAAGGTTTGGCCAAATACAATTATCTGAAAATCCTAGAAATTCATTCCTAAACATCAGCATGCCAAGTACAACCCTTACAGGGCAGTTCCATGGCTCGTCACAGACCTTAGAAGTTCAATGCTGGTTGAACGTGTGAGACAGTCAACTAAGTGGGTGACGGGGCTTAACCATGAATCTCATGGGTGTCAGACAACAACACCAAGGATTACTCCGTCCGAGCTACAAGAGAACAAGAGATAACCTGATAATACATTACAACATATTAAGTACGACGAGCTACCCAAACATGAGCACAATGTCGGAACATTATCAACACACTCCTTGAGGCAACTGCCTAAGGATTACACATTGGCGAAAGAACACCTATATTCGCTTTCACTTTTCTCATTAGAGTTGCTCCCATCTGGTACTGTGATATCTGCTGGTATCCAAATACCTCACCATCCTGAGGCAGACACACTCACTCGAAATTAAAGATATACAAATCCATCTACAACTAAAGGCTGAGTAGAAGCAGTGCAGTTTAGTGGCTAGACAGCAATCCATTAAACACAACCAGATATCTAGAATCGTTCCAAAACAACAATAAGCGAGCACAAAGCAATCAATTGGTTCATACAAGCTGCAACATAGATATTGGATATTGAAAGCTGTCTGAAATCGAATTTTGGATAGCGCGCTACAGTTTCGGCTGTATGTATTGTCGTGATCGAACGTTTGTGTTGTTGGTAGTCTTCTATTGAAATCATTACCAAAATGTGAGGATATTATATGTGCCTTACGAGTCGGCTAATTTCTTTTTTTCGCCCATTCCTGACACAATTTACACCCGTCTTAGCACACAATGCAACTTCAGGTTAGACGCAAGCTTAGAAATGACTGACATTTACACTGTTCATATGTATTTCATGATGTTTGTAATTTTTAAGTTATTTCGTGTTGTATCTCTTATTCCATGGGGTCCCACGGTTGTTAATATTTCATAGTAGTCCATCAAACTTGTTTCCCCTTAATTCATAATTGGGACAAACGATATAGTTTCAAAAGAGCTATACTGCGGTCATATAAGACATTAAATATAGATAATTTCAATGTATTCATTCGAAGTTAGTCATCAGTTCCTGCAAATTATTTTTTAGTGTTTCAATAGAAACTTCAGTCTTCAGTAATAAGGATAGTAGGTTGATGAACCTGTGTTAATCCTGACACATTGCTTTACAGTGAACGTCCAGCTTTTCCTTGAAAGTATTCACTGATGGGGCTGATACCACTTGTTCGGGTAAGGCGTTCCAATGATTGACTCTCGATGAGAAAAACGGGACCCCACTTTAAGTTTATTAGACCGTGGTTTATGAACCTTCTTGCTATGACTTCGGAGATTATTAATGCTGGAGGGAGCAAAAAGATAAGATATATTAACACCCAAATCATAATTGAAGGTACAAAATGCCAGTATAAGGTCACCTCGTGTCCTACGATACGACAAAGGGAAAAGATTTAGGCGTTTTAAACGCTCATCGTAGGGGAGTCTAGAAAGACCCTTCACTAATTTCGTTCCCACACGCTGGACACGTTCAAGGGAGTTAGTATCCTTTACCAGACACGGGCTAGCTGCTTGGATACAATACTCTAAATGTGGTCTAACATATATGGGATATAAAATTTGAAACATTTCCTCGTCAAAAGATTTGAACGCTCGGCGAAGTGACCATAACGCACGAAAACCTTTGACAGCGGCTGCTTTGCAATGCGTAGTTGTTTTTAAATCATGACTTAATACTACTCCTAAGTCTTTATGCTCTTGAACGCATGGAATTATTTTAGTTCTGGTGTTTTGTTTATGCAGGGCTTTTATGTAGGCTTCATTGTGTTCATAGTCGACACTTGACAGTTACTTTGCAAATGAGAATCGCTGAAATGATTATGTCACTTGATGCAAACACGAGTTTTTCTAAATGTAGCCTCCAGAAAAACACGTTTAGTTCAGAATCTCTTAGAGTGAAATTCTTTGTTAGTCCAAGATCGCCGAATTTCATCTGACGTGTTCTGGTCCTTTACAATGGAATTCCTAAAATAAGTTGACGGCTTTTGAAGTTTTGCCGGTGATTAACATTATACCTGACTCCCGTTCTTCTAATTATTTCCTCTTGAGCACAAGAAACGTTCTTGAAAATAGTTTTAAATAACCAATGTTAAACTGTTTTGGATACTAGCCAGACGGTAATTATTGTTGCATGTTTGCTTCATTAAAATCTCATATGGGCTTCGTCTAATTATTTTTTCTGCCTGCTCTTTTAGATGTCAGTCAGTACTCTGATCGACAGATTTCGTCTTTCCATTTACTCATATAGATTAAGTACTTTAAGTAACTGGCCTTATGATGGGAATTCCCTTTGTACAGCTGAGAAAATGGCCAAGTCTGGGTTCTACCGACCGAATCCAAACAATCCAACTACTACACAATGTTTTGTTTGCATGAAAGAATTAGAAGGATGGGAACCTGATGTAAGTTAACATTTCTTCCGGATTGGGCTACCAAGACTTTGTTTCAAGTAATTTATGAAATTCAAAATGTTTCACTCTATCTGAATTTTATGAACGTCTCACGACGTTTACAAGTTCTTATTAATACGGACAAAGTGGTTGTGTTTTTATTGTTGCTAGTTTTTGTAGTTGATTTTTGCACGTTCACGAAAATATACCGTAGATTGTACCATTGTGTAGCCTTAAACTACTCCTGTATCTTTATGTTTCATTTTATGTAATGTGGTGAGCTGATGGAAATAAGAGTGATAGATTCTTCAACAGTATTTAATAATTTAAGAGTCACGCTAACCGTTGGAAAAGTTATGATTAACAGTATCTTCATCGATGTGAATTCGTGTTGCCTGCTTTTCCCAAATTCAAATAAAATGTGTTCTAAGGTTCCCGAATTTTTATTATTTATATTAGTTTAAGGTTCATTTGTTACTCAGAAGCGGCTATTTAAAGAATTAGGTGCTTGTACACATTTATTTTATGAGATGCAAATAAATGTACCTTGTGTTTGTAATAATAATGGGAACAGTTATGCACTTCTGTGATGTTCACTTACGTTTGTTGGCAGCTTCCTTCCAACAAAAGTCGTAGTGCTTAGTTACCCAGAAATGAAAAGACGAGCTTTGGCATAGGAGAAATTATTATCTTTTATGAAAGGGTTCATAGAGTAGACTTAAAGTAAAGTGGAATGAATAGAATGCAGTGAAAATATACATCTCACAGTTATAGTCATTTTTTCAATGAAGTTTCCTCCTTATTCATCGACTACCGACGCTACTTTCTGAATGCCTTAATAAACTTAATAAATTACAGATTTCTATTTCCATGAATTGAGTAGCTACGTGGTTAGAAGCTATATTTCGGCTTTGCAGAATTGCTTAAGGTGTTGGATGAGATATAAAATTATTTACTCCTATGACATCTAATCCCATCACCCCATGAGAATAAGAGAAAGTTAAATACATAGATTCATAATTATTCAGATAACTAAAAAAATAAACTAATTCATTTACTAGGTACTCCGGGTATAAGCCACGCTAAATGTAAGGGCTAGCAATACCACAAGATTGCCCAAACCGAGGTATTTAGTGTGGGGCCTTAATCCAGACCATAATGGCTGAAATTCGAGCACCTAAACCATTAAGCTCTGCTGAATATTCAGATAAAGTAGGCTATTCACCCGAGATATCAGTTATGTAGTCCAACACTTACTCTTGTTTGGATGCTTTTATGCCTGTTGTTTTTCATTAAAAGTATCAAATCTATTATACAATCTCAATATGTCCTTAGTTAAGTTCTTTAATTAGTTCTGGGCTTGATGCTCAGAACATATCCTGTTGGAATTCCACTTTTGCATACGATACTTATGCTTTCATTTTTTTTGTTTTTAGGATGATCCAGACAAAGAGCATAAAAGTCATTCACCGAAGTGCCCTTTCCTCAAATCCAAGCAATATGAACAAATGACTTATGAAGAAGGTTTAGCAATGGATGTTGAAAGATATTGTACTTATCTTTCCAAGATTCTTTCGGATCAGTATGATGTCCAAAAAGTCCAAAAGGCATTTAAAATGTTAACTGATATTGTATTATCCAAACTACCAAAGCGAAATAAAAAAAAGAAATCGAACCTCAGCAAAACAAAACACTCAATTATGTCAAATTCAAGTATTAAATCAACCAGGAGTACTCGAAGCAAAAGAATATGAATTTGTTTGATTTCTTTACAAACCTGGATTATTTGTATACTTTGTACAAAAATAGTTGTTTAAATCATACCATACATCATTTTGATAGCATCAGACAACATGGACTAGTCCGCATACGTTCTTTTTTCATTTATTAATGGTAGATGTCGCTTTATCTTAAAATGTTGGTATTACAGTCCAGTAAAGATGGGTGAGGTTTATTAAACATCAATAATTATGCTCATTACTTACTAGTAAGGCCTTTTATTTTTAATGAGTTTGTTATACTGTCTTAGCATACATTGAATCAAACAGAATGGATAGATTGTGGTGAGCAGTGTAAACCAGGACCCATGTTTCCGCTTATTTGTGACTGGCTAGCTGGACCTACCTACATCCCCAGTATTGACTTTCGCACTTTGGGACTCGTACCCTGTACCTTTCGCCCTAAATATTCATGTAAGTATAATACCTGTTTCACAAGTGGACGGCTGTGTAGACTACTTGATAATGCGACAGGCGTTAAAAGCAAAAGGTGGAACGATCTATTAATAGTAGTGAAGTAAATCTAGCTGACAAGTCCCGAGTAGAACAGAACACGCTTTATGAATTTCTCAGCCAATAGCAAACCATTTGTTCTATTAGAAACCTATGATAAAATGGGTATATCGGGGCAAACCTCACAGTGTGCTTATGTATCAGCAAAGACTGAACTGCTAACATCTAACTGGTGATCAGCTCAATATTTATGGAAAGGATCGATCAAGAAATAAGAAAAGGTAACTTACTGAAATACCTTGTGCTGAGGATTCTATATTGTACCAAAAATATAATATTGAATAAAGTCGACAGTTGTTGCTACCTTGACGTCGTGGTCAGGCTTGCCTATCGTGATGAACTAATCGAGCTATACTGCCTGGAACATATGTTCCTCAAGGTTCTAACGTGCCGGTTGAGGAACGGTAAGACTAAACACCGCAAACCCAGGGTCCGAAGTCGTACTGTTGATTGTAGAGGTGTGGTGGCAGTAAGCTGTTTCCTTCAGACAACCAGCATGACAGCGATGCTGCCGTCTCACAAGGAGGGGTGTGGTTAGATAGGTCGACCGTAAAGATACACGTCTCACCTTATCCCACGGATATCCGTCTCTGGCGGTAAGGTCTCAACAAGTACGGAGCTAACACGAGAACTACTCACGAAAAGGTCGTGTGTGATCAGGCTCAAGCGGTTGTCCCTTGAGCACTGCAGTCACTCTGTCAGGTCATTAAAACCATCTCTAACCCAGCTTCTTCAGGTACCTCCAGAAGAATCTTTCTACGATGTGGGCAACCGGGAAGTAATAACTACCCTCATACCTTTAACACCACTAAAGACCATTGTAGCTGTTGAAAAACTGCATTTTAACATAAAAGTATTGTATAGCTCGATTGTTTGAATAAATTTAAAAAGCACTACTAACCTAATCAAGTGAATTTATGGTTGTTACGCTGAACTGATTTCAATGAATTATTTAAGATCCCCTATTCAAGTATTTAGTTAAGGATAGAAAAGAAAAGACAATAACAAATATATACGACAATGACACATTTTCTTTTTCTTATCAATCATTATTTCATCCTGAGGTTGTTGTTGATGTTGTCATCTTCTCTTTTGTATTATCTAATTTAAATCAATAAAAAAAAAGACAAGACACTAAAAAAGAAAATGACCATCAAAAGATATGAGAGTAAGAGATGAAGAAGTAGACGAAGTAAAAGGGATCCAAACAATCTATCAATAGTATAACATGTTTATTAAATGTAATGCATAAATGAAATGGAAAATCCTACTAAGTTATACAAATAGATATCATCATCATTATTATCAAGTTGGTATTGAAATGAAGAGTAAACCTATTTGAATTGAATGATTATAATCTGTAACTAAAAAAAATTCACCAGAAACAAAAGAGAAAAAGAAACGAACAAAGAAGTTGTTGAAATGATTCATTGAAACGGTCAATGTATCATTCAAGTATAGAAAGACAATCTTTCTAACATTGTTCATTGTATGAATTTTATTCACCTTCTTTTAAAAAAATATTCAAAAAAGAAAAGAAAATTTTCTATAATTAGGCAACAAGTAAAGCATATCCCTATTAACAAACAATATTCAACTTCTAACCTTTAAATGAAGAAAAATCAGAAACGAATGTATCATGATGAAGGGACATTTCCAAAAACAAACAAACAAAAAAATGCAATTGTCATGATGTGGAGAAGAAGAAGAAAAAACAAAGAAATGAGCGCATATATATAATCAAAGATAATGAATATTGATATAAAGGAAATATTGATTTCCAATATTTAAAGTTTCTTGCATAGTTACTACTACAATTAAAAGAAAAAGGAGTGAATCAATGAAGAAAGAAAAAAATTAGTTTACTTTATATTCATTAAAAAAGTTTTTATCTCTAAATTATCTAGTGAATAACGTTTAAAAGAAATTCAATTTGAATTATGTATGATGAAAGGGGTATAAAGCATGTTTTGTTTGTTTGTTGTTGTTGTTATTATTACTATAGTTGTATGATTATCCTTATTTGTACAGTTGTATAAACAAACACCGGGAGATGGGATCTTTTTTTTTCCTCTTTTTTTTAAAAAAAAAAAGAATTCATAATAGGAAAGAATATATATATATATATATATATATATATATATATATATATATATATATATATATATATATATATATATATATATATATATATATATATATATTGAGAGTGAGAGAGAGAGAGGGGGAAAGCGTTTCCCTTTGTAATGTTGTTTAGGCCCTGGATCAAAGTTCAATGAATTAAAAATCAGTAAACAATCAAGTTTATTTTGATGATAACGAATGACTGTTGTTTAATAATAAGTAAGTAAGTAAGTAAAAGTCAATAAGAATACAAGGCACTTTCAAATGTCCAAAAGAAAATTTGAGTTAAAAGTTGAATACATAATGATTATTTGTTTAAATTGAAAGAAGAAGAGAAACAGAAGGGAACTAATTCAAATGAAACAATGAAAGGATGAATGAATGAGTTGTAAACTATTTTAAATCTTGTATTGTGTGTGTGTGTGTGTGTGTGTGGTATATATATACAAACATTAGATGATTAACACATTTGAACTGTACAAATATATGATGAATTTGATAATTGTTGTGTTGTCATTGAACTCTCATTGAAATGATGCGATGGAGAATGTTCATTTTGTTCATTATTGGTATTCGTATTCGTATAATTATTATTACGTTGATCATATAGGATAGTTGTATCTTGACTTAATAAAGTTGAATTTAATTTACGTTTCTCTAAATAATGTTTATTTTGACGATAATCATGATCATTTATATTATTACAATGAAACATTCGAATATCATCATCAGCATTTTCATCAACATTATCAATATTATTAGTATTATCAGCTGGACGATATGATAATTCAGATGATGTAAAATAATCTTCAAAATAATTACATAAAAAAGCAAATGTTGGTCTACATTCTGGTTTAGCATCCCATGTATTTAACATTATTTCATATATAGAATTAGGACAATTTAATGGACATGGCATACGATAACCATTTTCTACTTGTTGTAATGTTTCTGTATTATTCATTGATGGAAATGGTACTTGTCCATAAGTAATAATTTCATATATAACAATACCAAATGACCATACATCTGATTTAATTGTAAATCTACCCATTAATGCAGCTTCTGGTGCAGTCCATTTTATAGGAAATTTAGCACCCTAATATTAAAAAGAGAAAAAGGAAATGAAAGAAAATAAAGTTACGTCATCAGTTTAAGTTAAAATGATATATAAGTAATAGGCATCTTTACCCCTTGTATACTTTAATAGTAAATAATATCCATGATCATGTTTCTTAACGCATAGTTTCTATGCAACTTAATTAGTGAACTAAAATAAAACCAGTATAGGGGTTGTGGAGATTATTAAGTTTTTGATTGAGATAATGAACTGATTGATGTTAAACCACCATTAAAAACCTGGAAGCATTGGAGGGCCGTTTTGCTCTACTGTGGGACTCCTCGGCAGTGCGCATACACGATCCTGCCTCGCGGGATTCCAACCCAGGGCCTTCAGTCTCGCGTGCGAACGCTTAACCTACTGGACCACTGAGCCGGCATTCAATGGTGTTAGTGTCTAACATCAGCCAATCCATGAAATTGCGCGACCATCTTCCATTGTACTGAGGTAGATACCTGTCTCTAGCCGACACGGATTAGCTCCACAATAGGACGAAATGGCCATCCAGTGATTCCAGGTTTCCAACGATGGTCTAACATCGATCGGTTCATGATCTCAATAAACTAAAACCAAATTTAGACAAGTACGTTCTAGTGACTGAAATAAATCACTTGGAGTTTGTCTGCTACGTTGAAGTATAATTACAAGTAAACCTTGTATAACCATTTCGTGAATCTATACACTGGTAATTTGTGGATATTCTAGTGTAAACTAACTAAATATGTGTATTAATCATAATAAAAATTTAATGATATTATTAAATTACTACAATCTCCACAGAAACCCTATCTGGTTATAATCATAATATGCTTACTAGTGACTGTCTCCAAGAGGTATTTCCTGGAGTTCTAGTGAGAAGTTGTGACCAGTGAGATAGTAACTCACTGAAGACAATGGTGGAAGTCCGACATTAACACCATTAGATGCCGGACGGCTCAGCAGTTCAAAGGTTAAGCGTTCACGCGCGAGATTGATAGGTTCTGGGTTCGAATCTCGCGGTGCGGGATCGTGGATGCGCACTGCCAAGGAAGAGTCCCGTAGTAGGATGGGATGGCCTTCCAGTGCTTCCAGGTTTTCCATGGTTTCCTAGATTCAATTGACTTATAAAGCCAATTATTCAAGATATTAACACTACTGAACTATTAGACTTGGTTGTGTTTAACTTTTCGATTTTCTGAATGAGAATTCATGGAAATTAATAAAAAAATTTTTTCTTTTAAATAAAAACTAAAATATTCAATCATTTAATAATAAACTACTTGTTTAGCTGTATATGTTTCATTTCCACTATCAATAATTCGAGCTAATCCAAAATCAGCAACTTTCACTGAATTATTTTCACCGACAAGTATATTTCTTGCGGCTAAATCACGATGAATATAATGCTCCTTTTCTAAATAAGCCATACCACTGGCAATCTATGAAGAAGAAGAAGGAAGAAAGAAAAGGTGATGATGGAAAAAGCTGCAGGTATATAAAAGTTTACTAATGAAATACACTCAATTATTAAGTGATATTGTGGGCTTTTTAATAGATTCATTGACAATAAGGTGTAATTTTTAATGAAAGATTGAAGTGATTTCTATATGTCTATAAAATCGAACCCTGGATTACTATTATTATTATTTGTAAAATGTTGCTTCAGGATTGGGTTGCATCGACAACTGAACTAACGATAGGGAGTGAAGTAGTTGAGCGTGTCGACTGCTTCACTTGGGAGTTTCATCAACCTTTGCGGTCTGGTGTGACGAGATCTCAGCACGGATACAGAAGGCCCGACTAGCTTTTTCCAACTTACGTCATTTATGGCGTAGGTGAGATATCCGTCTACCAACCAAAGGACGAGTCTGCTGTGCAGCAGTTTGTTCCGTCCTACTTTATTGGCTGTGAAACATCGCCGGTAAGAGTAAAGGATGTTCGTAGGTTACTAGTATTCGTTCATAGGTATCTTCGAAGCATTGCTCGTATATCCTGGGACCAACGAGTAAGTACTGTAGTTGCTAGCGAACGGATATTAGGTAAGGATCGCAAATCAACTGATGAAGTAGTGAGAATTCATCAGCTGAGATGGCTGGGACGCGTGTTACGTATGCCCAACAACCGACTTCCCCGGCGTGCGATGTTTTATGGTGTAGGAGTAGGTTGGAAAAAAGTTAGAGCCTGCCAGACCAAAACAAGGTAGGTGTAGACTACCTGGTTGGGATCCTCGATGGTTAGAGACATGGCACAGGTGCACCCACGTTGTACCTTAACTAAACTAGTTGTGAGATTTTGCCGTGATCCAATCTTTACCATTCTTCAAATGTTATGAATTTGTTTCAGTTGTTTAATTTTCACTTTTAAAGCAATAGAAACATGTAAACAGTGCTGAAAAAAAAGTTAAAATCACATAACATCTACTTAAATGAATTTTAATTCCAATGTTGTGTAAAATAAGGGGATTTCAGAAATACGTTTCAGGATTTCAACCTTCTGAATAAATTATAAACAGTGCAGTTTAACCATGTCGAGAGTGCGGAATGGAAGATTGTCGTCCAATATTTTGAAGTGTTCAGAATGAGACAAATAGATACCTGCTTGATGGTCTAAAAGTTAGACATTGGAGAAAGGTCTTGGATTCGATTCCCTGATGTGGGGTCGTGCATGTGCACTACTTAGGAATCCCATACTGGGACGAAACAGTGTCTAGTGCCTTCAAGATCCCAGTGGTGATCTAACTAAGACCAAGTCGAGATCTGATACCTATGAAAATGCTATGATCTTCACTAAACATTGTACTGTTAAAAATTATAAACAATTCAGTTAATGGATTAAGGGATAACTTCAGTGTAGCTTTATAATACTAGTGAACATGAGGATGCAAAAAATGACGTTGTAGCTTTCTGTGTCCTATACTTGACATGATTAAGTAGGTCGTCCAAATCAAGGATTTTTTTCCTTAGAAACGTAATAAGTTTTGATATTTATAATGATTCTACATGAATTACAAATTTCCCATAGTTATTCGCTACGTTGAAATAGAACATTTTTATTATGAAAATTCATTTATTCGAAAGAAGATTAGTATAAATTTGGATGTTTTAGCGGGTCATAAACTATTTTCTATCGTCTTTATAATAATTATGCTCAGACTTCCTGAATACTCGACTAAATGATGTAAAATAATTGTCTGAGAATTATGTTTATGAAGATCGTGGTCTTTTTAAACCATAAATCTCACAGAAAAGTACCCAGTTAGAGACGTTACCACTGAGTTGGATGATACGGGATCGAATCCATCAGGGAGCATCAGTTCCCTCAAGATTACGGGTACACTTTGCGGACGAGTGCCAAGTAGCACGAAACCTGGGTCCAGGGTTTCCTGTTGACTACCTCAGACCACCATCTTATCTCAACATAGTGCACACAATCTCGAGTCATCTAGACTGGTGGCCACATTGAAACTTGGTCGATAGGATTCGATTTGCACTAAGAAGGACCTGACATACATGACATTGATCACCATCCAATGATTAATTAATTGTAAACCAATAAAAGATAGCACACATAAAATATGAAATAATTATGATTCCAATTTACCTGTGCCATCATATCAATTAATGGTTTCAATCCTAATTCTTTGCCAGGACCATCACGTAAATATTTTAATAAACTACCATTTTTCATTAATTCAGTAATAATATAAATTGGTTCAGCTGTAACCACAGCATATAAACGTACAAGTCTTGGATGATGTAATTGTTTCATAATACGTGCTTCTTTAAGAAATTCTTCTTTAGTCATTGTACCTTGTTTTAATGTTTTCACAGCAACTTCAATAGTTTCATTCCATTTTCCTGATTATTTTCATTTAACAAATAATTATAATAATAGTAATAAAGTAATTAAATTAATGAATAAGAAAATAAACTTTATAATGACAATCTGAAATATGTTTGAACAGATGGCATAAGAAGTCAGTATCAAATACTTTCACAGAATGGATTACCTTAGTGAAATAGAAGGTGGTATGGAGATGCGCCACATAAATCATTCGATTTGTGTAAGGGTTTGGATACTGCCCGGGTGCTCGAAACGAGGCAGGAGGTTTTCTTAGGGGGCCACACTGGGAGCCTTCGACCTAAAGGTCTAATCCATAAGGCAGTGGAGCAACGTCAGGAGATGCAGTCCCATGGTAAGCCAGTGACCAACGATTGGTTTATACTCCTTTTGTTCCTACAGGATCGTGGAGCCCATGCTTCGGTTTGAGCATCCAGACAGTATTCCAGCTCTAACACAAATCGAATGATTTACGTGGCGCATATCTATTTGATGCCTCCTCGTACAAATGTTTATGTGTTTCAATAAAATAAATAATAAATGTGCACCATTGATTTGGAATCATGACAGATTCCTAGTGATCGACTGGATCATGAAGATGTCAACATCTGAAGGGAAACACGGGATACAATGGACATCTAAGATGCAGTTGAACGATCTAGACTTCGCAGATGATCTGGCCTTTCTATCCCAAACGCAACAACAAATGCAGGAGAAGACGAACAGTGTAGCAGCAGCCTCAGCAGCAATAGGTCTCAATATACACAAAGGAAAAAGCAGGATTCTCCGATACAACACAGAATGCACCAATCCAATCACAATTGACGGAGAAGATTTGGAAGATGTAAAAACCTTTACGTATTTGGGCAGCATCATTGATGAACAGGGTGGATCTGATGCAGATGTGAAGGCGCGGATCGGCAAAGCAAGAGTAGCATATTTACAACTGAAGAACATCTAGAACTCAAAGCAACTGTCAACCAACACCAAGGTCAGGATTTTCAATACAAATGTCAAGACAGTTCTACTGTATGGAGCGGAAACCTGGAGAACCACGAAAGCCATCATCCAGAAAATACAGGTGTTTATTAACAGATGTCTACGCAAAATACTTCGGGTCCGTTGGCCGGACACTATTAGCAGCAACCTACTGTGGGAAAGAACAAACCAGATCCCAGCAGAAGAAGGAATCAGGAAGAAGCGATGGAAGTGGATAGGACACACAATCAGGAAAGCATCCAACTACGTCACAAGGCAGGTCCTCACATGGAACCCTCAAGGCCAAAGGAAAAGAGGAAGACCAAAGAACACATTACGCCGAGAAATGGAGACGGACATGGGAAAAATGAACAAGAATTGGATGGAACTAGAAAAGAAGGCCCAGGACAGAGTGGGTTGGAGAATGCTGGTCTGCGGCCTATGCTGCATTAGGAGTAACAGGCGTAAGTAAGTAAGTAAGTATTGATTAGGAATCAGGGTTTTCTAACTTCCATAGGTGGATCCTCCATATCCACAAACACGGTTAAAGCGCCTTTAGTCCTCTTAATTTATTAGACAACAGTAATTCTATAAGAAAGGAATGAGCAGGACTTCACTGTCAGTGACTGTATACGCGTGGCCATGTGAGAGCATTTCAAGAGGGAGAGCTGACTCTCCTCACTCTCGGCCGTACCAGGGCATTTGGGGCCGATGAATTAATAAACACTAAGTAGATTATTATAGACTATATTCATGGATAGTTTTCAATGAAATCAATCTAGAATCTTTAAATTTGTTAGTTCAGCCAGTTATGGAGCATGAAAAAAATAAATAAAAAATAATTAATCGGACAAGTACACGCTTCAGTAGCCCATAATAACTTAATGGGTTAATGGGTAATATATTAGCTTGTGAAATGAGTTTATATTTTATCAGGAAATCTCATTATATCGGACCACAGATAAGCTTAACCGATGAGTTTTGCATTTTATTTCCATACACAGTCATTCACAAAGTTTTCCTTCAGTCTTGCGACAACTGATTTTCTTTTCGAAGTATTTAGTTATTCGAACTGTGGCTGTATGGATAAGACATCTAGGAAACCTGGGATGCGTACTGCTGAGGAGTCCCACGGCTGTTCACTGCTTCCAGGTTTTTAGTGGTGATCTAACATCAATCGGTTCATGATCTCAATGAAAAACTTAGTAATCCCTATACTGATACATTAATTTTGCAGCAAACTGTTAAAATTCACCAATAATTGTCATATAGCAAACACAAATCATTTTTATAATAATTCACTGATAATGACATAAAATATAAGATAATGTAGGTTTCAATGGTAGTAGTTAGTAGTAGTATCGGTAATTTTAATTTAATAAACCATGTAATGAACCAAATACGAGGCCAACTAATAAATTCAGTTCACTTATATTACAAACTTGCAAACTGATTAGTTGCATATTAAAACATTAATTATTTAAGGTATATATATAAAGTGCAGTATGTGCTACTGATGTTGACAGATATAAGTAGTATGTAACACTGATCAAAAGTGGAATGCCTGGAAGCAGAAGACCAAATTGAAGAGAACAATAATGTAAACAGAGAGTAATTGTAATAAAAACAGGAATGAAGTTTGTAAGAAACGATTCAAAGGTGTGCAAATGATGTACTTAATGTATGATTTTTACATTTTACTAAATCACTATGTGGTTATCGCCCACCAAATCTTCGTTCACTATAAAAGTATTCGATTAATTATAACATTATTTTCTCTTTCTGAATAGACGATACCTTGTAAGCTTTAATATCAAGGGCTGTAAAGGAATTTCTTAGGGTGTTATGAAACAATAAAGTTGTTGATTATTAGTGTGAGATGTATGAAGAACTAAGCGCTTTCTCATCCAACCTTTAAAAAAGACTATACATCAATGGTTGTAGGTTTGAAATCATTATACTGATGTACATTAACAACAACTTATTACTCTACGCGTACGTATTCCATGTTACTTTCGTTGTATTGTTTGATCGGATATTCTTCCATATTTTCGTTTAATTTTATTCTAACCAGCCGACAGATAGCTACCATTTAACTCTTATCAAGATGATTGTTTTCTATTTTACAAACAGACCTGATTCTAACAGTGAAAGATAAATTACATCGTTTAGTTTAAGGTAATGTCAAGGCACTTCTACTGTATAGAGTGCAAACTTGGAGAATTACAAAAGTAATCATCAAGAATATACAAGTGTTTATCAACAGTAATCTGCCCATAATACTTGGGATTCATTGACCAAAAACTATTAGCAACAACAACCTACTGTGGGAAAGAACAAACCAGATTCCAGCGAAAGAAGGAATCAGGAAGAAGCGCTGAAAGTGGATAGCACACACAATGAGGAAAGCATCTAACTGCGTCACATGGCAAGTCCTCACATGGAATCCTCAAGAGCAAAGGAGAAGAGGAAGACCGAAGAACACATTACGCCGAGAAATGGAGACGGACATGAGAAGAATGAACAACAATTCGATAGACCTAGAGGGGAAGGCCTGGGACAGAGTGGGTTGGAGAATGCTGGTCGGCTGCCTATGCTAACGGGCGTAACTAAGTATGTAAGTAGGTAAGTTGAAGGTAATTAAAGCTAAACACTACAAATTTATACTTCATAAATTAATATCATAAACTATCTCAAAATACAACAGTATCAGTACAATTTACCTTTCCAAACTTCACCAAATTGACCAGCACCTAATAATTCAATTAATTTCAATGAGGAACGTGAAATTTCCCATTGATCTCTTGTTAATCTTGATAAATCAGTTGGTACAGGAGGTGGTCTTGGACATGGACGTGTAAGACAACAACATAAACCATCCGCTTGATTAGAATAATGAATAACTAATGATTTTAAATCAGGAAAGACTTGTTTTGTAGTTATATACACATCACCAGTTTCAGAAGATTGTTTAATTTTATAATGTTTTACAGTTTCACCTCTTTGTTGTTCTGTATCACGCACTGACAAGGATAGAGCACCTTATGTTCAAGAGGAAAAGAGAAACAATAATAAAATATTTTTAAAAAGTCATGAACCACAGAAAATTTAGTATTTAACTGTTCCTAACTGTAGTCGTCCAACCTTGCTACACTTAGTATATGCGTGTCCAAATCAGCTACTAATCAGAACATGATATACTTACTTTCCGTAAATCAGATTTTAAAAAATAAACTTGAATCTTTTTACTTTACAGTGAACCATACTCATGAGACTTGTGTTTGTAGATTAATCAGTAAGCAAAGTTATACACGTATGGCATAAGTTCCAAGCATGTTGAAAATTTAAGATGATGGTTGTTTGGAGGTAGTCAACAGAAAACCCTGGACCCGGGTTTCGCGCTACTTGGCACTCGACAGCAAGCTGTACCTGTAATCTTGGGGGAACTGGTGCTCCCTGACGAATTCGATCCCGTATCACCAAGCTTCACAGTCAGACACGTTACCACTGGGCTATCCGGGCCGCGACCACTCAGTGATCAATCAATTATGATGTTGAAAATTTAAGCACTCCTTTATAATGATTGGTACATGCAGTAGATACCGAAGTTGTTCTACTATCTAACCGTTCATAATACAGTATCTAAGTGAGTGACAGTTACATTCGCGATCTACTTGTCAACCAATAAAGCTGAAATACAGTAATGAAACATAATTGGAAATCGGCTTTTATTGGTAATAATTCTTTCTGGATCCCTTCATAGATTATGACGGGTACTAGGCCCGGATAAAGGAGAAAGACAATTAGGAGCGAGGTTGTCAAATCAATCCCGTTAAAAAAGAATCTTGGTGAGAAAATGCTAACCAGAGAAATTTATTTAAACAATTTATCATCAGTAAAAAGCATATACAAAGGGTGAAAGAAGCGCTTACCATTTGTTGTTTCACTAGCTCGAACCAGAAATGTCCCACGAATATTTCCTTTTAATAATAAAAGACGTTCTGAATCTTTTCTTGATATACTTCTGAAGTACCAACTATAGTTCACAGGAAGAAGATGTACCGTTAAAGTCAAGAAAAGAAGACTTAATTGAGAAACATGGTGATATAAAGGATATTAAATATAAGTCAATCATAATCAACGTAAGGACTAGCATAAATATGCACTAGTTGACAAACCACATTAGCAAAACAGGATAAAATTGACAGGATAGACAGTAAACAGAGTCAGAATAATTGAAACAGTAATGATAGTCAGAAAGATTAGACACTATATAGGCTTTAACGCTACAATCTGAATAGTACAGCTCAATCCTGTGGTGCAACCACACAGGTACCAGCCACGGTGGTGGACCATTCGCACCATTCATATAAACATTCACATCACATGTATAATTATTCCCATCAATGATCGCGTGAATCAATGATGCACAGCACGAACAGGCCAAAGTTAACCCATCCCGCCTACACAACAGTCAAACTCATTAATGTTAGCAATGGCGACAGGCCTTACAATGTCCCAATGACAATGGCCTTGAGAACAGTGAAAAGCAACCACCATTATGAATGAAATCGGTTAACTAGCAAACTAATTTTGCACATCAACAGTCAGCAAAACTTGCCAAAATAATGCTGAACTATCCACAATACCAATGGTGAACCTTTAGTTCTACGTAGCAATATAGATTATATAAAATAGCCTGACTTGAAGCATTCAAGCTTAAAGAACGCTTAAAACCTATTGTCTCATGTCGGAATACTATTACAAGAACATGAAGATTATTTTTATCGTATTAACGAGATTTTTATATTTTTTCCCCGACTTTTCAAACCCTGAATTATGGGGTAGGAGTATCCCGGTTTTTTTTTCTTATTCCTACTGTTTAGATTAAATAATAGTCAAATGGATTGATCATTTTATTTTCTTCTTTATTTTAGACTAATTAATCAGAGAGAAAATTGTAATTTGTAATTTTTAGAAAAAGAGAAAAAGAATAATCTGTCAAACATTTAGACGAACATTATTGTTCAAAAGGTTAAACCGAAATAAACATTAATGTTATAGTTAAATGTTAACAAGAAGAAGAAGAAGAAGAACCATAATTGTTTTGTTTTTCGAAATGAAAGATGAAGATCAAAGAAAAAAAAATGAATGAAAGTAGAATGTTTGTTGGTGTTGGCGTTGTTGTTGTCCATGTAAAATGGATTAATAAAGTTAACGTTTCATTTCTGGTTTTTCGTTTATAAGAAATTTATTAGTAGTTTAGGTGGAAACAAAAGAGCTTACTGTTGAAGTGATCCAGAAAACTTGCAAAAGAAGTAGTAGTAGAAGTTTAGCCAGAAACATCAATAAAGTGAAAGGTCACATTTCGAGTTTCTGACTGACTGATTACTATACTGTTACTATGTTTAGTAGCGTTCCAGAATTTTCGGGAAACACAAGGACATCTAAAATACTATAAAGACCCTATATTTTCTGTACTCAAACGAGCCTTTGGAGTGAAGTGCTTCTCGTGTATTTTGCGCCTTTTCCCTTATGTTCAGGTTGCTGTGTAGTTCTACCTTCGGGGTTAACAGAATAGCTTAGGAACCGAATATAGCTTTCAATTAGCAAGACTTATCACTTACTTGAATACTTGAGCTAACTGTTCCTTCCATTTAAATATTTCAACAAAATATCAGGTTTTTTTATTCTGTTGGTTTTAACACATTATTATGCTTATCAGTCTCATAACCTATTCAGGTGTTTTTTTGAAAAGTGTACAACATTTCGTTGTACAACTTACGAAAAAGAGCTCACACAGAGATATCGTGGTTGTTGGCAATATGAATTAAAAAGAATGAACATTATACAGTTGTCTATTCCTGAAATGCTAATATCTAACCGGTGATCAACTCAATATTTATGGAAAGGATAGATCAAGAAATAAGAAAAGGTAACTGAGAATCCTATAATGTACCAAAAATATAATATTGAATAAAGTCGCCCGTTGTTGCTACCTTGACGTCGTGGTCAGGCTTGCCTATTGAGATGAACCAATCGAGCTATACTGCCTGGAACATTCGTTCCTCAAGGTCCTAACGTGCCAGTTGAGGAACGCTAAGACTAAACACCGCAAACTCAAGGTCCCAAGTCGTACTCCCGATAGTACAGAGGTGTGACGGCAGTAAGCTGTTTCCTTCAGACAACCAGCATGACAGCGATGCTGCCGTCTCACAAGGAGGGGTGGGGTTGGACAAGGTCGACCCTAAAGATACACATCTCGCCTTATCCCACGGATATCCGTCTCCGGCAGTAAGGTCTCAACAAGTACGGAGCTAACATGAAAATTACCCACAGAGAGGCCGTGTGTGACCGAATTCATGCAGTTGTCTCTTGGGCACTGCGGTCACACTCTCAGGTCACTAAGACCACCTTCAATCCAATTTCATTTTTAGGTACCTTCAGAAGAACCCTTTTACGGTGTGGGCAACCGGGAAGTGATAACCGCCCTCATACTTCTAACAGCACTCAAGACTGATTAACAGTAATATTAATGAACACAAGTGTATCCTCAAAGAAAAATGGGAAAATATTTGAATTTTAACAGAATGATAATGTGTGTGTGAGGGGGGTGAGAAGAATGGAGTAGTTGAATAAAATATTTTATTCATTATCTAACTTGGAAGTATCTTCTATCATAAAAATGTATTAAAGGGAATGAATACTCATAATAATACTTCTCTTTGTTTAGATTAAATATCACGTTTCAATAAAGAAACAGAAAATTATCTGAAATAAAGCTGGGGGTGGAATAAACAAAGAATAAATATAATACAAGGAAAAACAATATTTTGTTTTACCTGCCTAAAGTCACTTAGTAAATAATTAATTCCATAATTTAAAATAGAGGGGAAATAACACATGATGAGTATGACTGAAATGCAACAATGTATAATAGTAGATGTAATTATACTATGCTTGTACATATATGAAATACCTATCAAAAGTACTTGTTTCCTTCCCTTTGCACTCAACAATATCGAAAAATTTCATGATGGTATCGTTTTGTTTTCGATACACATAATCAGATTACACAGTCAAATAACTAAGTTAATTATCACAGGCAATGGAATATGTTCGTCCGATATGGAAGTTAGACATGTACACCATTATAATTGACTCAATGGTCTAAAAGTTACGCGTTCATGGCACGAAATTCACTCATCCATTTGGCTAAATAGAGTTTTTGCATTATAGCTGATATCAGTTCGTGATGAAAACCCTCAATGTAATTTCTAACCTTAACCATGAACCATAAATCATAATCCTAATTCTCTACACTGGTTTATAACTCTCATTTAGTCCTAGTTATTAGGTGATCACTTTCAAGGTCACTTTGGCGTCACTCAATAGTCATCCATAAATCATAGTCTCACCGGTTAGACTCGATAATTTCAAATAAATTGAATATATTGAATAAAATGCTATTGATCAAGGTATATTGATGATAACTAAAAGAGTAGAGAATTCAATTTCTGACGTCTCACAACCTAATTTAAATTGCTTCTTTAGAGAGTAAGTAGATAAACAAGTTAAAATAGTAAACAGGAACAAGGTAGAATATTTAGTTCAATCAAACTCAACCTAAGTTTGATGATTTTAATATTATGTGAATTATTTGGTCAATGTAGTTCTGTATAGGACATTCGTGTATATATTTGTGTTTGTATGATGGTGTTAATATTTCTCTTATTACGACTTAGCTACTCTTATTACTTAGTAATCTTGGACACTACTTCACTGAACAAGTCCCCAAATCAGAACATGAATGAACGAGAGTGTAATCGTATTTCAAATAACAAGGTTGAACGGAAGTAACAATCACAATAAGTAAAACGTTACTATATTTGTAATTTTCATATAAGATTCTAGAATTTTCTTTAAGTCTCCGTAGCGCTAATTGGTTAGGAAATAGCCAATAGGCGTGCTCCAACACAATCCTGCATGGAACATGCTTTAATCCAGTTTATATCCCTCTAACATATGGTAAGAAAATTATGAAGTTTATAATGTGAAAGAGTAGAGTTGAAATGTATGTATGTATGTGTATGGTAATCATATAAGGTAGGAATAGAACTACGTGTGTTTGTTTAGAAATAGTTCAAGTTGAATGAATAACCATGTTTCCTATTCTATTAAGAGAGGTGAAATTTAGCAGTATATACAACGTTTCAGCTATTCGCTTTTCGTGCTAGTTAAAAAAGCCTTTCTGAATTATTTTGATGATTTTAATATAAATATCTGGTAGTCCATGTGAAGTTGAATAGCATAATTTATGCCGACCTCTATTGTCTCGTTTTTAATCCGACTATAATTTTAAGATATTTACAACTAGATGATTAGGAACCATAAATTAGAGTGATGAATACATTTCTTTTCTTGGTTTATACAAATAATATATGTATAACTATGTCTAAGGTGACTTTTTTTAACGATCGTCAAAATAAAAAGAACAAAATCATAATCAATCATATTTTGATGAATAAACCATAATAAGTACCTATTTACAAACATGCATTTTTGTAGATTATATCTATTGTAAGACTGAAGAACTGGAGAACTACGAAAGAGATCATCCACAAGATACAAGTATTTATTAACAGCTGTTTACGCAAAATACTTCGGATCCGTTGACCACACACTATCAGCAATAACAACTTACTGTGGGAGAGAACAAACCAGATTCCAGAAGAAGAAGAAATCAGGAAGAGACGCTGAAAGTAGATAGGACACACAATCAGGAAAGCATTCAAATACGTCACAAGGCAAGCCCTGACATGGAATCCTCAAAGCCAAAGGAGAAGAGGAAGACCAAAGAACACATTACGCCGAGAAACGGAGACGGACATGAGAAGAATGAACAACAATTCGATAGAACTAGAGCGGAAGGCTTGGGACAGAGTGGGTTGGAGAGTGCTGGTTGGCGGCCTATGCTCCATTGGGAGTAACAGTCGTAAGTAAGTAAGATTGAAGATACCTTACATATTAGACATA